GAGGGGCCTGTCCTACCCTGCCTTCCCATATGCACTGCAATGTCGGCTGATTCACCCACATGGAGTATGAAATGCCTAGCGTGACTGTGAAGCTGTAACCATATGGCTTCCCATGAGAGTGGCCACTTGTGACGTACCAGCAACAAGCCTGGGGCTATATGTTCATGTGGGTCCGTGCATAGGGACCCAGCTTCCCAGCACGTTTAGGGTGGAGTACACGAGGTGTGGGATTTCTTAGGAGTATACTGCCTCTGAAGCAAGATGGTATCATCTCTACATTGACCGGTATGAATTACACACCTCAAATACTGTTGTGAGGGGAGCTGCACTTGGGATCTTGTCCTCTATAAGTAGCATGCAGTGACAGAGGACAGAAATACACAAAAAGAAAAACAGACAAGCTCTAAGCAGAGATAGAAGATGGGCCTGACCAGTCTTGCTGCCTGAATCCATGGGAACAGTCCCCGAGTGTTTACCTACTTGGAATGGGGCATTTTCCCACCAGCCTATGAACATACCAAGAAGTACAGGACAGACAGCCCAGAGCAGGCAGACCAAAGCAATATTCCTAGGTCCAGAGCACTTCCCCTAGTTCTAGATCCTACACTTTTATTCCTGCAGAGGACCCTCTTCCCTTGGTTAGTAGGGTGGAGGTCCAAAGGATGCTGGTGTGGTCCCACTGCCTCTCTGGAGAGAAGATACAGCAGGGTGTCCCCTAAAAGCCCCTTTCCCATTTGTCAGGGAAGGAGGCTAGTAAGGGTCCAGTTTAGAGCAAGTTCAAATTTACAAGTTCCAAAAGACAGAAAATACCCAGAGCAAGATCAGAAAGGGACATGAGTAGGGCCATACCACCAAAGACATCCATGGATCGATGCTGGGCTGTGTGTTGGGGGGTGGTCCCATTATCCTACCAGATAAGACTTTTCTCACCCCCCAAGGATGAACCCCCCACCCTCCCAGGTAGAACCACAGACTAAGGCCGTACTCCTAACTCCTCATCCTATCTGCCTCTTGCCCAAAAGGTCTGAGCTTCCACCACCCATCTTTTCAGGGCTTGAACAGTCTGCCCCTGGAGTAGCCTGGGCAACGTGGGAAGTAATCCCCAGAAGAGAAATGGGTCTGAGAATAGGTAAGGGTCTCCCCAGCATATTCAATAATCACTTCAAATATTCTTGAGGAAACAACAGTCACACACCACACAAAGACTCCTGCCCCAATAAGGTCAAGATGGGGCAGGCAGAGGAGTGGGCATGCCTAACTGCGGTCTAATCCCAGCACTCAGGCAAAGGCAGGCAGATCTCTGTGAGTTTGAGGCTAGTCTGGCCTACAGAGCACTTTCTAGTATAGCCAAGGCTACACAGAGAAACCCTGTCTCAAACCAAACTAAAACAAACACTCATACATGTAAAATAAAATTAAATTTTTGAGTGTTTTGCCTATATGTATGTTTGTGTATCACGTCTATGCAGTGCCTGTGAATGCCAGAAGAAGGAATCAGACCAAATAAAACTGTACTTAAAGACAGTACCACTGCCAGGTGTTGGTGGCACACGCCTTTAATCCCAGCACTCCGGAGGGCAGAGGCAGGCGGATCTCTGTGAGTTCGAGGCCAGCCTGGTATACAGAGCGAGTTCTAGGACAGCCTCCAAAACAATACAGAGAAACTCTGTCTGGAAAAAAAAAAAAAAAAAAAAAAAAAAAAACAAGCAAACAAATAAGAGCTAGATAGTTCCAGGACAGCCTCCAAAGCCACAGAGAAACCCTGTCTTTAAAAAACAAAACAAAACAAAAAGACAATACCACTCATGTGGGCACTAGGAACTGTACCCAACTACTCTGCAAAAAAGCTCTTGCTAGTAGCTGAGCGTTGGTGGTACATGCCTTTAATCCCAGCACTCGGGAGGCAGAGCAGGCAGATCTCTGTGAGTTTGAGGCCAGCCTGGTCTACAGAGCAAGTTCCAGGACAGCCAAGGATGTTACATAGAGAAACCCTGTCTCAAAAACAAACAAACAAAAAAAAAACAGAACAAAACAAAACAAAAAAACTAAGAGCCCTTAACCACTGAGTCATCTCTCCAGACCACTATTCTTCTCCAAGATTTCATTTTATTTATTTTGAGTGCAAGTGTATAAGTGTGTAGGCAAACACATGCTGTGGTGTATGTGTGGAGGTCAGGGTACAACCAACATAAGTCAGTTCAGTTCTCTCCTTCCACCATGTGGATACTGGAGCTAAAATTCAAGTCCATCAGATTATGTTATACACACTAGTCCCCCTTATCTAAGGATTCATTCTTTAAAATTATTTATTTTATGTGTATGGGTGTTTTGCTTACATGTATGTATGTGTACCATATGCATGCTTGGTTCACTTGGAGGCTAGAAGAGGGTGTTGGATCCCCTGGGTCTAGTTACAGATAGTTGTAAGCTGCTATGTGGGTATTGGGAATAATTCTTCCTTTAAAGATTTGTGTGTGTGTGTGTTGTGTATGTGTGAGTGCCTGTACACACATGTGCATGTGTATGTGTGGGGAGGTATCCATGGAAGTCAGAGGCATCAAATTCCCTCGGGGGCTAAAGTTACAGGCAGTTGTAAGCTATGGAAAATGCATGGGTGCTGGGAACTGAACTCAGGTCCTCCACAAGAGCAATATGCTCTCTTAACCATTGAGTCATCTCTCCAGCACAGGAATAATTCTTTAACAGAATTTTCCCTTTTTTGGTTTTTCGAGACAGGGTTTCTCTGTATTGCTTTGGAGGCTGTCCTGGAACTCGCTCAGTAGATCAGGCTGGCCTCGAACTCACAGAGATCCTCCTGCCTCTGCCTCCCTAGTACTGGGATTAAAGGTGTGTGCCACCAACGCCCGGCAAATTTTCCCTATTGTTAAGGCAGTGGATATCCAGAAGGCTAGACCCAACTAGAAAAAGGTTTCTAGTGTCTTGTTTGTTTGCTTGCCTGTTTATTTTTCCAAGACAGGGTTTCTCTGTGTAGCTGTGGAGCTTGTCCTGGGAAATCACTTGAATCCTAGTGAACATCCCACAGACACTGCCCATCTTGCTGTCCTGTCCTACTGTTTAGAGCAATCAGACTGGGGAGGTAGGCAATAGGGAGTCCTGATTCCCACCTTCCTCTCTTCAACTGAGGAAAGGTCAAACAAACCACAGCCTCCTGGGACTGGAGGTGAAGTAGAGACCTCAAGAGTGTTCAGGGATAAATGTTGATGCCTAAGCCCTGTACCGGACTGTACATTTAAAGACCTCCTGAATTCGCACCCATGGCTCTCTGCAGGAGCCCTGGAATCGGCCCGTGGTTATCAACCCACTAGAATGACTGTCATCCTGCTGGACAAGGACAGGCACAGAGCTCAGAAAGGATCAGAGCTGAGGGGCAAGTTGAATGCTACTGAGATCCTTCACACTCAGCCCAGGGACCTAAATGGAGGCTCCCTGGGGCTTCCTTGTAGTTGAGGGCAGGGCATATCCTCCTAACATAGCCCCTGGAAAGTCAAGCCCTGAAAAGGCTTGTGTAGGATAGGAAACTCCTTCTTTTGGGTTTAGCTATCCACAGCTCCACTTTGTGTTCACCCACAACTCAGACTCCCACTCTTGCCTCTAGGGACATGCCAACCATAACCCTAGCCCCGACAACTTTACCCAGTCTCCCAAGAATCTGCTCCCATTCCTCTACCTCACCCTGTATCCATGCCCTGCACTCCATGACTTCATCCCATCTCCTATAGTCCCTATCCCTGCAGCCCCGCCCTCTGTCTCATGACCCCAGCCCCCACCACCTTGCCCGGTCTCCCACACCCCTGTCTGCCCTCCAGAAAACAGGAAGTGTTGGGAGTCACGGCTCTGGGAGTAAGTGCAGGAAACCGGGCTTATCTTGCTCTGCAGCCCTGACCCCTGGCCTTGTGCCGGGTAGGGGGCGCCAGGGGCAGTCCAAGGACAGAGCCTGCTCACCTGGTGAGTCCTGGCTGCCTCTTTCTTGAGCCACAAAACTGTCACAACTGGACTGGTATCAACAAGGCCTAGCCAGTGCACCGTTAAGCTTCCCAGGGTACTTCAGACTGTTGTCTCCTCCAGAGACAGCAGCAGAAATCACACCTACACGGCAAGGGACCCAAGAGCTAGTACCCCAGGATGTCACACTTCCCTCACAACAGGCACTGTACTGCTGCCAAGGGTCTGACCTTCCCATTTCCACCCAAACAAGGACTCACTTCCCATAGCAGGTGTTACCTCTTTGCTGCCTATTCCAGATTCTATTGGAGCAGGGTGTGTGGTGTGTGTGTTTCTGTGTTTACAAAGCTAAATCTTCCTGAGGAGGGGGCAGGATGGAGACGGTCCCTCCCCCCCTCCCACCCCCAGGGTCCTGGAGGCCACTGGTGGGGACAATGGGCCTCAACACCTGCTTCACTCTTCTCCCCCCCCCTCCCCCCAACACCAGCCCAGTAATATGTGCTTCCTGGAGTAAAGGCCTTGTTTATTTCCAGTTAGCCACAGCTGAAGCAAGCAGCCTTCTTGCACACCTGCAGGTCTTGCAAGGGTCTAGTGCCCACAAGGCTAGGTACTCTGCAGGTCTGGGAGCAGATATTTCCCATCTCCACAGGCCTGTGCATAGTGTTGCCCAAGCCTTCCAGGAGCCCAGTTGGTTTTTTTGTTTTGTTTTTTCATTATTTCTTTTTTCTTTTTGGTTTTTCGAGACAGGGTTTCTCTGTATCATTTTGGAGGCTGTCCTGGAACTCGCTCTGTAGGCCAAGCTGGCTTCGAACTCACAGAGATCCGCCTGCCTCTGCCTCCCGAGTGCTGGGATTAAAGGCGTGCGCCACCACCGCCCAGCTTTTCATTATTTCTTGTTTATTTGTTTTATTTAGCCGAACCTCCCTTTACATCTACTACAGGATTTCATAGTGCTGGTGTGATATCTACCAATGGATTGGCCTATGAATGATGAACTTGAACCAGGCCTGGGCCTACTCATACACAGCTGTTAACTAGAAAAAAAAATATGCTTCAGGAATCTGTGTGCCATCCTTGCACAGTGGCAGCCATGCTAATCTCCTCGTATCATTTCAGTTTTACTGTATGTGTTGCCAAAGTGAGCCCGACTTTAGGAATGTAGCAGTAAGGATGTGCCAACCAATCCTTACTGCTCCTTTTACTCAGCTTTCCCACACACCTAGGCTAGCGTGGTAGGTGGCAGGAGAGGGAAACGCGGTCCTAACACAGAAGACGCTACAGCCCTCACTCTCTGCTGCATCATGGGAGGGTTATTAACACACAAGTAGCAAATTGGGATTTGCAAACCAAAGGACTAGCTCGTCATCCTGCTGTTGCCCAAGTTCCAGATGTTCTTTCAAAGGATCCTAGTCGTGGGAGGCCGTGGTACCCAGTCTCCCTTCAAAGCCTGCCAGTCTCCATCTTCCAGGATTACATATGGAGGCCTGGTTCCTCGGCTGCCGGAAATTGCACAGGCCTGGCCAGTGCCTTGGGGGGTCCCATTCGTAATCCTCACAGCCCTTCCTTTTGGGCCATAGCCCGACCTCCCTGGAAAGTCAAGTCCTGAGAAGACTTGTGTGGGATAGGCAACACCAGTAAGTCTCCAGCCCCATGTCTCAGCCCCTGTACCTTCAAGGTCTGCTCTAGCTGGTCAGCAGCCAGCAACCGTGGGGCAGTTTCTGTGCTGGGCTATGTTAGATGTGCATGAGGAGGATATGCCCTGCTAACAACTACAAGGAAGCCTCAGGGAGCCTCCATTTAGGTCCCTGGGCTGAGTGTGAAGGACCTAGGATCTCAGTAGCATTCAACTTGCCCCTCAGCTCTGATCCTTTCTGAGCTCTGTGCCTGTCCTTGTCCTGCAAGATGACAGTCATTCTAGTGGTTTGATAACCACGGGCCGATTCCAGGGCTCCTGCAGAGAGCCATGGGTGCGAATTCAGGAGGTCTTTAAATGTACAGTCCGGTACAGGACTTAGGCATCAACATTTATCCCTGAACACTCTTGAGGTCTCTACTTCACCTCCAGTCCCAGGAGGCTGTGGTTTGTTTGACCTTTCCTCAGTTGAAGAGAGGAAGGTGGGAATCAGGACTCCCTATTGCCTACCTCCCCAGTCTGATTGCTCTAAACAGTAGGACAGGACAGCAAGATGGGCAGTGTCTGTGGGATGCTCACTAGGATTCAGGTGATTTCTCAGTAGGATCTAAAGTTGGAGCAAGAATAAGTACAGATTGGCTTGCAAAATGGGTTCATGGGTGTCTCCATGGAAGGCTGTCCATACTGCCCTCTTTCAGCTAAGAGCCCAGACTTTCTCCAGATCCCACTTGGCCACTCTTTATAGTCAAGTTCTCCTGCCCTATGACTTACATTTCAAAAAAAACTGGACCTTTTTCTCTGCACTGGGACATTGGCTATAACCCAGCGTGCCCAATAGAGCTCATTAATATAAACCATTAGTGCCAGGCCCATAGTCATCTACCTCCTCCACTGGTATTTCCTGATACAAGATACTAACATCCAGATTCTAGGGCTAGGATCCTGCAATGGCACAGGCTTCCCCTCATCATTCACACACACACACACACACACACACACACACCATTTTAGGCCCTCTCTGGCACACCCCCACCTTGTAGTTTTCCACACTGCCTCCTACCCCATGGAGCAGAACCAAAATGTCCTATATTTGTGATCTAAGGTGGCTTGTGAGACCATTAGAAATCTGAACCATAGATTCAGAAAGCTCCATTTCCCTTCTACACACCACACTCTAGGTCCAGAGCTGGCCCAAGCTCTTCAAGTACTTGACTGTGTAATCAAGGAAGGTCCTATACCCTCTCCATGTCTCAGCTCCCTCAACTGTGAAAAGAAACAAAAGGCCCCACTGGGCAGACCACATGTACACCAAGGAATGGAGGCATGAAGAACTTCAGGGCTATTGCTTGTTCTTTTATTATTTATTTATTTATTTATTTATTTTGGTTTTTCGAGAAAGGGTTTCTCTGTGGCTTTGGAGGCTGTCCTGGAAGTCGCTCTGTAGACTAGACCAGGTTGGCCTCGAACTCACAGAAATCCTCCTGCCTCTGCCTCTCAAGTGCTGGGAGGTACTCTTGAGGCTCTTTGGCTCCACATCCTATTATGAGGCAAGGAGGCTGGGGGACATTGCCTCTTTCTGTTCAGGGCTTGAATCATTGAAGAGCAGACTCCCAGGCTTATGTAGGTACTGGGGTCAGCCTAGTTAGTTCAACAGGCAATCTGGGGCAGTTTGTGGAGTTGTCCCCTACCCCCACCCTACCCTACCCATCCCCCAGGGGCAGCAGGAAATGGCCTGGTCTAGTTTGTGGCCAGGGCAGCAAGGCTGGCTTCCTCTAAGTCCTGTTTCCTTTATCCGGTTGTTTTGCTCTGAATCCACCAAGCTCAGGCTTCCCCTCCTCTCCATTTCCACCCTCTCCTCCGGTCCAGAGTTGGGCAGGACGGATGTGTGACGTTTTAACACCCCTAACCAGATTGTGGGATGGGGGTAGGGGGCTTCCCTGCCTTAGACACTACTTGAGGACAGGTCCAACATCCCACCCATGCCCCCTGCTGTATGAAGCTGGGAGCTACAAATATTGTCACTGCTCAGGTGTGAAATTTCCAAGCAGCAGATCCCTAGGTGGTTCAGGGCCCATAATCAGTCAGGAAAAAGTAGAAGAATCAGGCCACATCACTAGCTCCATTTATTGGGGCCTCACTGGGTGTGTGGAAGAATGGCCATGAAGGAGGGTGCTCTCTTCTCCACATCCTGGGCCTTTGAGTGCAGGCAATCTGAGCTGAGAGAGGGGACACTGTCAAAACACCAACCAAAGTTTGTTTCCAGTCTTCTGCGAGGGGTGGGAATAAGAACAGGGGCAGAGCTAGAATTCACCGGTGGCCATGGCACTCAGTGCAAAGAGCTTCTCCCAGCAGGTGGCGACAGCGTACAGGGCACGTAGCAGGAGCCGCCTCCGGCTGGGACGCTGCTGTACTGGACGCTGCTGTACTGGACGCTTCTTGGGCTGCAGGATCTGCTAGTGGGGACCAGCTGTGAGTGCATACAGATCCTGTACCCTCGCCCTTATCTCACAGCTCAGGCTTAGACCTGAGGGAAGTGGGTTGCAGCCAGGCCAATACTTGAGCCCGAAGCCTCAGGCCATTGGTACTGCAGTCCTTAGGGAAAGGGCAGATTGAGGATACATACCCTACTGGATGTTCGGCAGTGCCTGTGAATCACTGCCTTGGTGCGTACCGCCACTGTCCATGCCGCTTTCTCTAATGCATTGTGGGGAACTCCAGCCATGCTCCTAAGAAGGGTCTGACCCAGAGACTCAATAGACAGTAGGATACTATGCTCCTGAGATGGAAAGGGACAAAAGCCAGGGCAGGGGGTGGAGGTGGGGCCTGAGGAGGGAACAGGTAGGTGTAGGTTGGGGATACCCCCCATACCTTTTGGGCATTGCAGGAGGCCCCTGGCTGTCCCTGACCTCCACCAGCTCCAGTCAGGTTTTTCTGAACGAAGTGGTGGTGTCGGGACCCAGGCTTTGTATGCTGGGCTCCCATCCCAGCCCATTGCATGGCAACCTGCAAGTCCTGGAAGATGACAGCTTGGTAGTGGCGGAGTACCTCCTGGACACTGCAGGACTGGGACCCAGCCCAGCCCAGAGCAGACTCAAGAGATGCCAGCAGCAGTGGTAGTACATAGACAGTGGACTTGAGGGGCACCTGGAGAGGACACCAGGTTGGGGTTGAGAACCTAAGCCTTCCAGCACAAGGAATGGCCCCATAGACAGTTGGAGTCACCACAAAGGGTGCCCTCTCATCTTTGCGATGGTAGGATTGAAAATCTCATCAGACTCTGGCTATGGCTTATGAACTATATGTTCTGTGACATTTGTGGTGTGTGTAGTAGGGGCATCAGGAAGTACTTTCACTGAGCCCAGGAAGGAGACAGAAAGCAGGTGCCATCAACAAGGGGTAGCACTATGGTTTACATTGGAGAGGCAGGAAAGTTAACACCTAGAACCATGGATGTGCAAGGGCTCACTGGCCTTGTACAGGGAGTGGGAGAACAGTAAGAAATGACCCCCAGTACAGCCTCACCCCTGAACATGCCCACCCCACACCCTGACAATGGATGCTTGCTCTCTCACATACATCTCATGCCCTGTGGGTGAGCAAGACAGGGTCTGGGGTAGAACCACCCTGTTCTCATGCAGTATGGGAACTCCAATCTCTCCCTCAAGAGCTCTGCTGCAACCAGTCAACCCCCAAGACAAACCAACAAAAAACAACTAGGGCAGAAACAATGGCTCAAAACTCCGAGACCCCCAATGGAAGAGGAAGGATGGAGGAAAGGAGGCCTAGAGACAGCAAAAGAAGCAAAGCCCCAAGCAAAGCTGCCAACAAGCTTCCTCCCGCCCCAAATGGAAAGGACCGGTGCTGGGGGAAAGATCATACACTAGGGAGCCAGATGAAGGTCCCCAGGACCCCAGCTCCTCCAAAAGGAGGCAGTTTCCAAACCTGCCTCTAGGCCCCCAGCTTACTTGGGCTGGAAAATTAATCTTGTGAACCCAGCAAAATGACAGGACTCAGCTTTCCAGCCCTGGCAGAAGAGCTGAACTGAACATAACACAAACTCCCACATAGAGGTGGGTGCGGGTAGGGGCTCCTGCCTGGGATACTAGTACCAACAACTAAAGAACAATGTAGTAGCACCCTTTTGAAAGTCATTTGGAACCATGGCTAATGGAGGGGTACTGAGAATAGCCCATCACACCACATTAAGAACAAGAGCCGATTCAGCCAGTAAGACACCCAGCAACAACATGGGACAAGCTGACTGCCCAGGGAGTCCCTACAACTCGGGCTTAACCCAGTATAAGAGGATGGGGTTCTGGGAAGACCAGGACAAAAGCACCAACAATGGTCATTTTACTGGTTACCATCATAAACATCTGGGGGTTTCTATGAAGTACAGGGAAACAGCCTCCCCTGGGTTGTGCCCATGCCTAGACCCTTGACCCAGGCCAGCCCTTTCCCCCAGGCCCCAACTGCTCACCATAGGCCTCTCAGGGTCTGGCCTTCCCTTATTCCCTCTAGCAGGCCACACACATGATCCTGGGGTCCTCAGGTCTTTGGATTGCCAATGAAGTAGGCAACTGGCAGCCACACCAGGTACTCTATCGGCTGATGAGGCCTCCCTGGTGAGAGCTGGGGGGCAGGTGGAGAGGTGTTTGAAGTTGGCTCCTCCAGCAAAGGAGGGAGGGAGCAACAAGGGAGGGAAGGAAAGTCCAGTAAGCCAGCCCTGCCCTTAACCCCTCCCCACCCTCTATCCAGTCATTTCAATTAACCTGACTGGAGCACAGCAGCTGCCTGTTGCAGCAGATCTGAGGCTGCTCTGGGTCTTGGATTGAGTCTCCAGCCCCATGGAAACCCCAGCTCTGTCTCAATGGGTAGAGAGCAATAGTCTCTCCTGATAGGCGGGCCTGCCACCAGTCCCCAAACCATATCCAGACAAACCTGTCCCAGCAGGTCTGGAACTTGGGACTTCCCGGACTTCTACCGCTGGCCCCACTTCACCCCTTCAGACCTCGGGGTCATCTAGGAGTAGGAGGTCCAGTCCCAGGGTTTCTGTTTTGCTCTAGCACAGCAGCAGCCTCTGGAACACATTTAATCTCCTGCTGAACAAAGCTCAACTTCCAGCTGAAGAAAAGCGAAGGTATGAGCTGGTGAGCTGGCCCCGCAGGGTAAGGCGCTCACTGCCAAGCCTTGACAACCTGAGTTTGATCCCAGGGACCAACACACTAGAAGAGAAGGCTCTTTAAGCTATCCTCTGACCTCCACAAGTATGCTGTGGTATACACGCACTGCAATAAATAAATGTGATACACAAGGAGTTGCTGACCATCTCAGCAACAACAACAACAAAATCCTCTATTCCCTCAGAGAGGGAAAAATAACCTGGTCATTACAGACTCATCAGACCTTTCCACAGCCCTACAGGAAACTTTACCCAAGTGCCCTCTTCTGTAACTGCTCTACTGCACTCAGTTTGAGAGTTGGGAACAATCAAAAGGAACAGCAACCACCAGCAGCCTGATACTATAGTCAAGTCCTTTCCCCTTCCAGCTGTAAAGGAACCACTGAGCTGGGCAGTGATGGCGCTCGCCTTTAATCCCAGCACTTGGGAGGCAGAGGCAGGTGGATCTCAGTGAGTTCAAGGCCAGTCCAGTCTATAGAGTGAGTTCCAGATGGCCAATGGGTATGGCCCCTCATCATAAGGAGCCCTGTGGATCTTTCTATGGAAATATCCAAGGAGCTCTCCTAGATATGCCTCAGGACAGGAGCAGAAGGTACTTCCCCAAGCCAGCACCTAACTGACCTGTCGAGCATCAACCAGCAAGTCCAGATGCTTACAGAACAATGGAGACTTCTTTTACAGCTTGGTCCCCATGTGACCTTCAGCCTCTTGTATCACAGAGCCCCCATTCTATATATAGCCTGTACTTCCAAGATCTTCTCCATAAAATATCAGCAAGTCCTTGGTACCCCAACTATGTTTTTTTCTGGAGCACCAAGCACTTGCAGGAGGCTACAACCAAACCAGACTGGCCATGACCACCACTCAAGGGGATAGGAGTCAAAGATAAGACAGGAAAGAAAAAGACAAAGAAAAAAAAAAAAAGACACCCTAGCCCCAATATAACTCTATAAAAATCTTTAATGAATGAAAGATATACAGTGTAGGCTCTGTGTTCATTGTCCAAGTGCTGCCCTTTGCAAAGTGCTCTGTCTTCCACCCCAGCTATCAGAAGGTGTTTTTAATACGGGCAGCTACCAGCACTAGTATTTCCCCAATCTTTCTCTGCCAGTTGGTGATATCCTTGGACACAGCACACCATAGTTCTCCATGCCGGGGCTCTGCATTCTCACAGCGCTTCCTCACCTCTTCCTGTTGCTCCTGGGGAGACCAAAGGGTACTTTAGGTAGGGTTTCTTATTAGGTACACACTGAGCCTTGCAGATCTGGCCCCAGCAGAGTTCATGTCCCCTCCTCTTGGGCACATGGCGTCCATGTCAGTGCATCTTGTGTTAACTTATGTCAGACTCCCTACCTCTGGTTCACACAAGTTGCCGGGTGCACCATCTCTGTACTAGGCACTTCCTGGATTCAACAAGGTCTGACTACTACATCCAAAGAGGATCCCTGGACACCCTGGCCACCCTTGCCTTATGAGCATGCTCCAACAAACCTCAACTGGGGATGGGCTGCTGGACCTGACCACTTCCTTTCCCCCTCCCCATGGGCTGGATGGAGCTTTCTATTGTCTCAGAAGTGGCTAGGGGAACAGGCAGGACATTACTGCACACTGGTGTTCTAGTGCAGTCTCACCTCAGTGCCATGTTGCAGCTCAAATTTGTAGAAGAAGGCCCAGGCATCCCCCAGATCTGAGTCGATCTTCACAGTGCGATGGAACCACTCCCGCGCCTTGGTGATCTTTCGTTCACTCCAGAACAGCCTGTTATGAGAACAAGTACTTAGAGCAAGGGGCAATGCCTGTTGGGCTTGGGATTCACTCTTCTGTGTGGGTTATCAGCTGTATCTTGCTCCTGGTGAGACCACAGGCCAAGGCCCATGTTACAGAATGCCTGAGTCATGGTCCAGAGATACCTGGAGGTCACTTCAGATCCTTCACTGAGCCTAACTGCTTTTTTTTTTTTTTTGGTTTTTACGAGACAGGGTTTCTCTGTATTGTTTTGGAGGCTATCGGTCCAGCCCGGCCTCGAACTCACAGAGATCCGCCTGCCTCTGCCTCCCGAGTGCTGGGATTAAAGGCGTGCGCCACCACTGCCCGGCTGCTTTTTGTTTTTGTGAGACAGGGTTTCTCTGTGTAACAGCCCTGGCTGTCCTGGAACTCACTTTGTAGACCACAGAGATCCATCTGCCTCGGCCTCCCAAGTGCTGAGATTAAAGACGTGCACCACCACTGGCCGGCTCCCCCAACTGCTTTTTATAACATTTAAACAAAGCAAAGATCTTAACTTTCTTTTTCTTTCGAGACAGGGTATCCGTGTGTAGCTTATCCTGGAGCATATCCTGGAACCAGCTCTGGTAAACCAGGCTGGTCTCAAACTCACAGAGATCCACCTGCCTCTGCCTCCCAAGTGTTGGGATTAAAGGCATGTGCTGCCGCCGCCACCACCACCACCACCACCACCACCACCACCACCACCACCACCACCACCACCACCACCACCACCACCACCACCACCCGGCAAGATCTTAACTTCTTAAAACTACTATTTTTTCTGGGTCAGATACAATATGAAACTAACCTTGACAAACATTACAGCTGATTATAAAAATCTGAAATTTCAGACTGTTGCTCAGTAACTTACCAACCATGGACTATCCTGACTTGTCCAGCCTCTTGTAGCAACATAAGCAAACACAAAGGTTTCTACAGGTCAGCTCTAGGGACCTGTAGCTCTATGGCACTTAGACCATAGCACACATGACTGTTTTGCTTGACACTCACACTTGAAAACCAGATTGAAGAGGAGCCTTGCAGAAGGCCAAGAAACTAGACTGTTAGAAACCAGTTTAGAAATGGGGTGTGGTGGCATATGACTTTAATCTCAGCACTTGGAAGGCAGAGGCAGGTAGATCTCTGAGTTCTAAGCCAACTTGATCTATAGAGAGAGTTCTAGGGCAACCAGGGCTACAAAGAAAAACATTACCTCAAAGAAGGGAGGGAAGGAGGGAGGGAAGGAAAGAAGGAAGGAAGGAAGGAAGGAAGGAAGGAAGGAAGGAAGGAAGGAAGGAAGGAAGGAAACCAACTTAGGGTCTCCATGGACACCCTCCCCAACTGGTAGTTAGTGTAAGATAGCAGGATGAACAATGAGAAAGACAGCATAGCATGCTGTGGGGAACACTTTGGCAGGCTCAGGACTTGGGCTGTATTCACCCTCCCTCCCTTAGTGAGGCAGCTGGTGCACAGCTAACCTTTCTACTGCAGGCAGCTGTTTGGGTTGCTCTCAGGTACCAAATGGAGTATTTTCATGCTGATAACTTGATTGTTTTTTAAGCCATGTAGTGCTCTTAATTGCTTGGTGTTAGATAAACTGTGATTTAAAGAGCATAAACTCAAGATAGTAGGCACATGGATCATCGGCTTGGGAACAGCAAGGAGTGACTTATTTACTTTAACAAAGCCTTCTGTGAAGTTTATGGCTGCTCTGTCTGAGGGCACATAGATGTTACTCTGGGAAAAGGAAGCCCAAGCTAGGAAGGTTGGGTCTAAAGCTTCCTTCATCTGCTAGGGCCACAGATACTACAAATGTGCCTAGGTAGCAATGTGAAGGCAGGTTCACCAGACATGCGTACTTAATGTCACCCAAACAGAACCAAACTAGTTCTGGTTCTAAGTCTCTGCCTCCATCACCACCACCCGTAGCACAACCTTGTGCTGGGAGGTGATAGGAGACCACTTGATGACATTGCAGATGATCCATGGTTAATCACTTCTGTACTCCAAGACAATGGATTACAGTCAGGGCTATTCCCAGGACCAGCTGAGTTCTGCTAACACAGTAAAAGTAAAAACTTGACTCAAGCTCCTTCAAAGGGGCTTGGTAGTTAAATTCTGGGGGGGTCCAATATCAACAAATCTGTCCAACATGTAATCTAGGTCCCATATGGTACTGAAACAAAGAGAACAGCCCCATCAGATGCCTGGTACTGAGGAAAACCCAAAAAACCCAGGAGGCCTGAGAAGAGGGGGGAGGTGACCAGACAGATTTCTAGACAGCACCTCAAGACCTCCACCAAGAGAATGCTGCCCAGAAGACTGAAGCAGGGGTTCTGGCAGCTGAGGCCCAAGTGGCTCATCCTGCAGGCAAAGTCAGCATCCTCAGGCAAAGATGCTGACGAAATTATACCAGGACCCCAAGGATAAGCAAAACCCCAGAACTACTCGCTACTCACTTAGCCACTGCTAAAAGCACATGGGGGTCATGTTCACATTTCTTCAGGGCATCCACACTCTTGGTCTTTCTCTGGGGCCTTGCCTCAAGGAAGACAGCTTCAGACCACAGGATACCTGAAATACAGAAGCAAAAATCTGCCCTTCAACCTCACTTCTGACTTCAGAAATGCACTCTATTCCTCAGGCTGTCCCAAAAGGAGTATACTGATGCCAACCCCAAGGGCCTGAAGTATCCACCTACCCTGTAACCTGCTGAATTACAGCAGCCTTGCCCAGAACAGACTGGACAGTGCTCTGGATGATAGCTGCAAGTTTTCATTCTTACCAAGTCAGCAAGCCGGCAATGGGCAATGGTAATCTGAAAGTACTATCTCATACTGCTATTAAGAGACAATAGCTTCTAGGACAGCAGGGCTACACAGAGAATCCCAGCCTCGAGAAACAGAAAATAAACAAACATACAAAAATACAATAACCAGGTATGGGACACATGCCTGTAATCCCAGCACTTGAGAAGGCAACAGCTGAGGCAGGGCCATCATGATTTAAAAGCCAACCTAAGCTACAAAGTAAGAATCTAGCAAAAAACAAACAAAAGAACACAAACAAACAAACAAAAAACCCACCTACCACTACTAGCACCAAAACAAAAAACCTTAGCTAGGCATGGTAGCACAGCCTTGTAATTTTAACACTTGGGAAGTGGAATCAGAAGAATAGGGAATTCAAAGTCAGCCTTTACTACATAGTGAGTACACTAAGAAGAGATTTTTGAGTAGTAGGGTAAAGGCAATCTCTATATCCTCCTTTTAAACTCCAAATTTTTTTCAAGTGATATATACATTTTTTTGGTTTTCCTTCCTTTCTTCTTCTTTTTTTTTTTTTCTCCAAGACAGGGTTTCTGTAAGTATTCTTGGTTGTCCTGGAACTCACTCTGTAGACCAGGTTTGCCTCAAACTTAAGAGATTCACCTGCCTTTTGTTTTCCAAGTGCTGGGATTAAAGGCACACACCACCCAGCTACATTTCTTTTTTGTTTGTTTGTTTTGTTTTTTGAGACAGGGTTTCTCTGTATTGTTTTGGAGATTGTCCTGGAACTCGCTCTGTAGACAAGGCTGGCCTCGAACTCACCTGCCTCTGCCTCCACCAACGCCTGGCCCAGCTACATTTCTGATACACCACATGTAAGTAAAATAATAAGTTAAATCTTGACCAAAACAGAAAAGAAAAAAAATAGTACTGCAGAATATGAAATCAAACTCTCCCATATTGAGACTGAGGATTTAATCTGAAGTCCTTTGTAACCAAATCTGTGATGCTAGATAAAATGGGACACACAAAGTACGTCTTAGAGGGGTCACTGGGAGTCAGTCTCATCCCACAGATTTCCTCCATGCTATACCAGAGAGCCAGAAGCCCTTACCTGAATTGGGGCACTCCTGCAGTGCCTTGGCCATGAGTGTGTTGGCAATGTTCTTCAGCCCTGCACGGTATTCCAGTCGCACTGACTCCAACCTAGGAAGACAGACCCAGGGATGTCCCAGACCCATTAGTTACTCCAGCTGGCCTTCTGCCAGAGACCCTTTTAAAGGCTTTTAAATTTTTTGTTGTCATGAATGTGTACACACACACACACACACACACACACACACACACACACACACACACACACACACACACACACA